CCCCCCGATTTACAATGGCATGCTGAATGGACATTACTTTTACATGTCGAGGCTCTTTCGAATGAATATTTAGAATATTCCCCTACATATTCCCATGCAAGAGATTCACTTTTCCAGATTTTCCACGAAATTATATTACGTAATTTCGCAGAGTACGCATTCAGCATGCTTTTGATAACGTAAAAAGACTAAACTCACCTCTTGGAAGTCGATCCCGCACCCGTACAAGCTAAGTGATCCTAATTAGCGATGCCGTCGAGTTTCGCTCGAATTTCCGGAGCGAATGCACGTCGCGAGACTCGTTTTCGCACAACTGTAATGCAGAGAGAGAGAGAGAGAGAGAGAGAACAGATTAGTCTCACTGTAAGATGCCTAATTCCGATAACAGCTGCCTACACCGCCATCCGTGATTACTTTACGAGCCGATGGCGATCTCTCTAGTTACTTCGAATAAACGTTATCCCATCGCCATCACGAAAGGCTATAAAAAGAAGACTGAAATCGTTGCATGCTGCCAGCACGATTGAATTTATGCGGTTGTACGAGCAAAAAAAATTGCTGATCCATATTCCCAATAATACGTGCTTGAAATAATATTATTCCACAAATAATACGCGCGCGATGGCCAGAACGAATAATACAATGTTATACCGCCCGCAGGCTTTTTCAAAATTAGCTAAAATTCATGATATCCCGGGCGTCGGTATTTCAGATGGAAAATTGGTTCATTAGGATGCCTGTGTAAACTGTTTTCTCATTAGCGTGAGAAAGGATCGTAAATGCGGGGTTGAACGAGCTGTGGCACACGCAATGTCTGGTATTCCAGAGTCTCTGCAAATGCCGACGTGGAACAACGTTCTACTACTACCGCCGATCGCAACGCCGCGATAAGAAATTTTGCACATTGTCATAAAGATACTCGATCGTTAATTAATTTCTACAATCTACACCCATTCAAGCCGGCGAACGGATTTGCAAAGCGGCATTATTACGGGACACGGGTGGCGCGCCATAAGCAAGTAGTTACGCCGCGTTACGGCGCGACGCCTCAATAAGTAGTAAATCCCGCTCGTGCGCGACCCGCGAATAGCGAGTCGCGCTACTGACTCGTACTACTGAAGAAACCAACCTGCGCTCTCGCTCCATTATTTTCACAAACACCGGAAAATCATATAAGATCAGGTATAATAGAATGAGAAGAAAAAGAGGCCATACGGAACGAATTCAAAATTAAGTAAAAAAATTATTATTTATTTAATATAAATGTTGGTGACAAAACGTTTCCACTTAATTTAATCATCTTCAACCGAATATTTAGAAAATTGCTAACCTAATATAAATAAATTAATTAATTAAATTAATAAGTTAAGTAAAATATTAAAAGTGTAATGTTGAAATGGTTGGAGCGTTTGCCTTTGTTTTCATTTTTGTAATTCGTTTAAACGTTTCACTTTTAATGTTTAATTTATTAATTTGTTTACCTGCATTATCATTCGATTGAGAAAGACTAAATTAAGGTATAAAATATTCCACTGATATTTATTACTTTAAATAGATAATTAATCAGTTTCATACATAATTTTGAGCTTGTTTTATATATTTCTCTTCCTCTTCACTTCATTAGGACAATTTATTATTAACTTATTTAAAACAAACATGTTTTTGTTCAAAGATTCAGGAATTAAACAATCAATACATTCAGGTAGAAAATAATTAAAACTATATAGAAAATTTTAAAAAAGAATAATCCAAAGTAAATTTTACTTAAATTAAAAATAGAAAATATGTAATTTAAAAAAAAATACTATCAGCACTATTACAGTTATCCTTTTCTTATAAATATTTTGTAACTTACAAACATTTTTTGAAATATACTTATAAAATATTTGAAAGTATCTCAAAAATAGCCAATTTGATTATTTTATCGACTATTTTCTTATGAGAAATTATGTTTTTGTATTTTATGCACCAGAAATTAATTTGACATGTAGACTACTCGCTATTTGGGTTTGTAACACGATTAAACAATAATTAAATTTACACGTGCTCATGATCGGATTCTAAATACGAAGGAAAGTTCCCGATATCGACTCGTATTTAGGATCCAACAGCTTCGTCAATGACGTCGGTTCGATGTAGAGCAATTTCATTAGGCCTGGTTATAAATAGTCTTTCATGCTTCATAGTTATCAATAAGAAATGCATCGTGTACCGCAGCAACGACGTTCTTTTTGAACATCGAGGCGCATATCGTTATCATACATCGATGTAAGCTTTTTATTCTACGTTCCATGCACACGACGGCTGTTGTGTCGGAAATAATAAGACTTGCTGCTTTACGAAAAGAGAGAACGTTCTGAAAACGCTAAAACATTATCGTAGAGAGCCTCGATGCGTTCTATCGACTCGCGTATCGCGTCTATGCTCACCTACAGATAATAATGTCTTTATCAATAACGATTACCACACGGAGCCAGATTATAGTCCTCGTATAGCTCTGACGTAACGTCATTGTAAGCTAACGCTGTTACTTTTCTTTTTCTATGTCATAGGTGGTGCTTCGAAGCTCAAGTACTCGCTGTTTGAAAATTTCATCTCGCAATTACTCGTATGTAATTCAATGCAAAGTTGAATAGAGAGCCAGTTATACAGCAACAATTTCAACTTGGTGTATTTGCGCGGTCGTTGTATAATCGGCGCAGCGTGAGAATCGTATGCGACAAACGGCATCACGTGAGGCGCGAAGGCTTTTTATAGAAAGGAAAAAAAAAAAATAATAGAACCGCGCGCAGTATCCGCTGTGGAAACGGTTTAGCTCGAGGATAGCGAGGCTTCCAGTATTGCCGACTCCATTCGCAATCGTGAAAGGAAATGACAGCAGGAAAAAAAAATAAGGGGACGGAAAGGAAGCAGAGGGAACCGATTCTGCAATGTATAAAAGTAAACGTGCGGCGCGTGAATACGGATCGTGATATTCGCGATACGCGTACACGACTGGTAGCAAATCGACGCGTTTGTACGAACATTTATCGGACTATTGTAAATGGCATTCACTAGTCCATGTTATGGATATCATCGAAGCTGCCTACATCGTGAAATCGATACAATTATTTGCGATAATGCAATCCGATTTATGTTACAAGATGGCGCTTCAATCGTCAAATTCACGATTAATTGAAACTATTGAAACAACATCCTTATGGAACGCATGCGAGATCGAATAATCTTTTTAGAAATACGTGTGATCACGTCAAACTATTTTTAACACGCAAATTCCGTTATCATTCACACGTTAATCGAATGTCGTTAAATGTTGAAAACCCGGGAACGTTGGAATTCACGAGAAAATATTTATATTTCTTTTAGAGCGTTTTTTGTTGAAACAAATATAGATTTGTGCAACATGGAAAAATATGAGACACGTATATTTATTTTTCATAAAATCCTGCCAGAGATTTAAAGGTGTGAAACACTCCCTCAAATTTTGACGGCCGAAATCATTTTTCTGCAATAAATGTCAAAGTGTAGTTGTAGAAAAAGCGAATTTCAAACTTCGACGAGATGTTTCAGCTCTTTAAACTTTGACATTTATAATATAGTAAAAATACGTCTCATATTTTTCTATTTATAAAAAATTTAGATTCCTTATGTTTAACAAATCACAATGAAAAAATCAGAGCTAATAGAAATTATCGATATTATCAGAGAGCAAAGTATTATTACAAAAACTTATATTTACCGATGTTTACAATGTTTAACGTTTGATTAGATATAATAATAAAAACTAACAATTTAAGGAATTTGCGTCGCGGTTTTGACAAAAAAAAAATGCATGTCACTTCTATATACGTATGTCGTCTCGTCGAATTCGATAGGATCGATGAGAGACCCCGTTAGAAGTACAACGAAAAATATCTGTAAATAAATATGTC